AAAAAAAACCTACTTCTGGATTTATTTCCAAAAGGATGGAAATCAGGATCTCAAAGAATCGTCTGTATTTCCAGGTTTATGGCAGCATTTACAACAGCTGAACTGTGGAAACAACCCAAATCTATCTACAGAGGAATGGACCACATTCCAATCTGATGGAACGTCTGCCTTCTTCATATCATTCTATCTGCTTTATCTGACCCGGCATAATCTGACTCTACAGTCTTACACCCAATTTTTCTTTGTTTTCAATTTACGTCCTCCTCAGTTAAGCTAGTTCGAACCACCTCTTACATGTTCATCTCAACCCAAGTATCTTTGCTCACATTCTCCTCTCTTACTTTTCTCATTCCATCTCTATAAATTCTATCCATTTAAAAGGATTCAACTCAACTACCAAGTCATCTATGAGTACATTATTTTGTACTGTTTTCTCCATTTTTATCATCATGCCATGTTTAAAAGTCACTATTTGCCCATTTAGGATAAAACTGTTTGCTTTTTCTTTTCTTTGTGTATGTGAAGATATTAGTTATGTCTTTTCAATTAAACTATAGATTGTTTGATATCTGAATATATAGAATATACTTTCTGGGATCCCCTCAGTGCTCTGAACAATATATGTTGATGAAGTAATTCAAGAAAGCCACAAATCATCAACCCAAATATGAACTTGCTCACTTTGATAAAAATAAGGCATTCTTTGTTGTTTAGGAATCTTGGTGAAAATAAATGATTAAGAAAGTGGCAAGACAGTAGCACATGACAGTAGAAGAAAGTGAAATTTAGATAATGATAAAGAGAAAAGAGTAAAGAAAAAGGAGTTTTCATCCCCACTTCCCCAAAATATATTTTATCTAAGAAGTTGGCCAGGTCTTTATTTTTCTCTTGGGAGGTCAGATGATATGTGAAGTGAAACCACTTAGCTGTGATTTCCTGAAGACATGTAATGCCACAGAGAGCACTCTAACGTGAAGAAAATAAGGTCAACTCCTTATTAAGTGTGTAAAAAAAAATGAATGGGAGATCTGCAGGTTATGGAAGAGAAAGCTGAAAGCAAACACAAAAATCCTTACAATTTCTCTATCCATCTTTAGTCTACTAATTGCATTTTAAACCAGAAGTCAAAAGGTAAAATAAGATCATTTATTTTTAGTCATTATACCTATTCTGTCTTTGTAACTTGTTGTCATGGAGAATTCAAACATATAAAAAAGGAGTAATGAAACAAACCACATGTACCACTCACTCAGGTTGCAATTATCAGCTCATAACTATTCTTGTATCATCTCTACCTCCTATCTCTCCATCCAAAGAATTTCTAAGCAAATTCCTGACATCATACAATTTCAAATAAATATTACAGTGTGTATATATATATATATATATAATGACACACATTTCCCTTACAAAAAAATGATCTTTTTTAAATGCACACCACACACACACATTCCCTGTTATCAAATAGCCAATGTTCACATTTTCTAAACTATGCATGATTTTTAATGTTCTCTGCATTTGAATTAAAATCAAAACAATGCCCATACATTGGATTGCTTAAAATATCACTTATATTAATGTATAGGTTTGTAACTCTACTTCATGTTGCATTTTTTTCCTTGCAATTGTTTCCTTGCAATAACTTATATGTAGTCTATAAGTTCTCCACAGTGCATTTTCCCAATTTAATTCCCTGTTGTATCATTTAACATGTTCCCATGGCTCTCCTCTTTCTTCTGATTTAGCAGATCTAAGTGCTTGAATATTTCAGGTTACCCTTTCAGGGGTGAGGGGTACAAACTCCTTCATAGGTGGTATTATAAGTAGATGCTTACTGATGTACAGTCTGGTTCTTTTTTTGTAATGTTAGAAGCCATTAATGAACATGGCGTGGGATCAATCAGTTCCTTATGGTAGAAAATTATGATTTGTTAATTTTATCATTCTCTACTTGTTTAATTGGAATATTTTTAGAAATAGAAATTTCCTCTCATGAACTACACCAAGGAAATAGTTTTATTAGCAAAAGTTAGAGGAACACTTGTTTTCTTATATTTATCCATTTTCTAAATGAAATATATCCCTCATGAATACAGTTGCAAAAATTCTCAATAAAATACTGGCAGAATCCAACAATACATTAAAAAATCATTCACTGAGATCAAGTGGGATTTATTCCCAGGTTGCAAGGATGCCTCAATATTCACAAATCAATTAACATGATACATCATATAATAAAAAAAAGCGTAAAAACCATATGATCATTTCAATAGGTGCAGAAAAGCTATTTGACAAAGTATAACACCTATTCATGATTAAAACCCTCAACAAAGTAGGTCCAGACGGAACAAACTTCAACATAATGAAGGCCATATACAAAAAAAAAAAAAAACTACAATGAATATCATCCTAAATGGAAAAAAACTGAGAGCTTTTCCTCTACAGTAAGGAACAAGACAGAGATGTCCACTGTCACCACTATTATTCAACATATTACTGGAAACCCTAGCCAGAGCAATCAGACTACAAAAAGAAATAAAAAGCATCCAAATCATCAAAGAATAAGTAAAGCTTTCACTATTCACAAATGACATGATACCATATACAGAAAATCTGAAAGACTCCACCAAAAAACTGCTAGAACTGATAAAAAAAAAAAAAAACTCAGTAAAGTCGCAGGATACAAAATCAACAACATATAGAAATCTGCTGCATTTCTATACACCAATAATGAAGCAGTAGAAAGAGAAATTAAGGACTCGATCCCATTTATAATTGTACCAAAAACAGTAAGATACCTAGGAATAAACCTAATGAAAGAGATACAAGATCTGTACTCTGAAAACTAGAACACTGATGAAAGAAATTGAGGAGGACACAAAGAAATGGAAAGATATTCCACACTCATGGATTGGAAGAACAAAGTTTGTTAAAATGTTTATACCACTCAAAGAAATCTACACAGTCAATGCAATCGATCCCTAGCAAAATACCAATGGCATTTTCCACAGAGCTAGAAAAAAATATCCTTAAATTTGTGTGAAACCATGAAAGACTTTGAAGAGCCAAATCAATCTTGAAAATGAAAAGCAAGGCTGGAGACATCACAATTCCAGAGTTCAAGGTATATTACAAAGCTGTGGTAATTAAAACAGTATGGTACTAGCACTAAGATAGACACCCAGATCAATAGAACAGATAAGAAAAAACCCAAAAATGAACCCACAACTCTATGGTCAAATAATCTTCAGCAAAGCAGGCAAGGATATCCAATTGGAAAAAGAATGCCTCTTCAACAAATGGTGTTGGGAATACTGGACAGCAACATGCAAAAGAATGAAACTAGACCACTTTCTTGCACCATACACAAAAACAAATTCAAATGGTTTAAGGACCTAAATATGAGATCTGAAGCCATAAAAATCCTACAGGAGAGCACAAGCAGTAACTTCTTTGACATCAGCCATAGAAACTTCTTTCAGATACATTGCATGAGGCAAAGGAAACAAACAAACAAAAAAGAACTATTGGGACACATCAAAACTAAAAGCTTCTGCATAGCAAAGGAAACAGCAAAACTAAAAGATAACCTACTGAATGGGAGAAGATATTTGCAAATAAGATATCTGATAAAGGGTTAGTATTCAAAATACATAAAAACTTTTAAAACTCAACACCCCCAAAATGAATAATCTGATTAAAAATGGACAGAAGATATAAACAGACATTTTTCCAAAGAAGACATCCAGATATCCAACAGACACGTGAAAATATGCTGAACATCACTGATCATTAGGGAAGTGCAAATCAAAACCATAATAAGATATCTCCTTAGACCCGCCCGAATGGCTAAAATCAACAACACAGGAAACAACAGGTGTTGGTGAGGATGTAAAGAAAGGAGGACCCTCTTGCACTGATGGTGGGAATGCAAACTGGTTTAGCCATTCTGAAAACAATATGGTGGCTCCTCAAAACATTAAAAATAAAAAACTACCATATGATCCAGCAATTGCACTATGAGGTATTTACCTAAGGAACACAAAAACATATATATGTATTTTTTGTGTATACACACACATTTTATATATATATAATATATATACATATATTATATACATACTACCATTAAATAGGATATATATATATACATATATAATGTGTAATGTCTCCAATTGGAGAAAGACAAACACCATATGATTTCACTTATATGGAATTTATAAACAAAACAAGTAAGTAAAGGGGAAAAAAACAGAGAGAGAGGCAAACCAAGAAACAGATTCTTAACTATAGAGAACAAACCAATGGTTAGAAAAAGGGTGGTGGTGGGGGGATGGGTCAAACAGGTGATGGGGATTAAGGAGGGCACTTGTGACGAGCACCAGGTATTATACAGAAATGTTGAATCACTATATTGTACATCTGAAACTAATATTACGCTGTATGATAATTAACTGGAATTTAATAGAAACTTAAAAAAAAAACCTGTTTCCCTAGTATTCTCAGTGATAATCAAAGAGATGTTTTGAGTATCACTTTATATTCATGAATTGAGATACATTTAATGTATTTTAAGCTGTTCTAGTTATTATCCTTATTGTCTCAATTTTGGTGAGTGGGAACCTGTTCAAGCTGGCTACTGTGCCCTTTTGACAGAATTCTAGTAGCCTTTAATAATATCCTACTTTTCTAGCACAAAATATTCTAGACACATCTTGCTTATTACTACCCCCCAGACCTAAAAGCGGCTATTTCTCCGGTGAGTATACATATACATACATACGTGTTATATATTGTTAATATATAGTCTTATATATTATATAAGTAAAATCATATAAAATCTTATATTATCTTACATTATATGTATTATACATAAGATAGACTATAATAAATATAAGACGTATAAAATTATATATATGTAATGTTTTTAAAGGCAAAAATCATCATAAGATCATACTGATACTGCTCATTCAAATTCCAGAGCACAGGTTTTGGCTTACCTTCAGCGATCTTGCATGCCTGTCTTTCTTTATTCCATGCCAAACAGATTGCGCCTAAGTCTGACCAAGACTTATTTATCTTACGTCACACGCAAATAGTTTGAGAACAGCAATTACAATGAAGCCACCAAAGATGTGATTACTGAAAACATAATCACACAAGCAAATCACTGTGACGTATAGTTATTTGGAATGCTTTCTGTCTCTACAGTTGTTGCATCACCTGGATTTACATTTATGTTCATTTGTCTTACATTGCATTCCAATTTTAAAGAATTAATTTCTAGAATTCGGTTTTAACTATTAGGGATTTATATATAAGTCAAACATAAAACAAAGTGTATTCACAAAAGTGTCATTTGGATCCCTTATCCCTTCCAAAGTAATTTCTCCCTCAACAGAAAACTTTTGTTTTAATATTATGATTTCTCATCCTATTTAATGGTAGCATACATAATCCTGGAGCCTACTTTACTACTATATTTGCTATATATTTAAATTAATAATGAATAAGTAATAAATCTAAATAAATTAAATTTGAGTTAAATTAAAATTTCAATTTCTCAGTTTTACTTGTCTCACCACGTCTGATCTAGCTACTGTTGCTCCGGAATATCCGACTTGGCAAAATAAAAACTAATGCTGAAGCCCCGTGATATGGTATCATCCCTCGAAGAAATCACAATCCCAGTCACCTGATGGCAACTTGATCAAGTTCAACCCCTTTCTCCCTAGAAACACAAAATTCTTTCTGGCCAGGACTGAGAGGTGCTCGAGGCATGGTTGTGCCTTTCCTTCCCAGAGTTTCTCAGCTATTTGTGAAGACTCACACAGCGTCTGAGCTACTGACATGGGATCCTACTATAAATAATTCCTTGGGCCAAAACACCTGTTTTCAACCCAAAGATAGGCAGCTGTGGACAGGAACCACGAGCCCCCTACGGCCTACCACATACCACACTGTCCAGAAGCTGCTTGCCTGCTGCAACAGTGGAACCAATTTTCGGAGGCGTATCTGAGGCACCAGTTTAGGGATGATACCCTGTGAGAATAGAATATAATCCTTCCAGATGAAGGTCATCTTTAATTAATGGCCATGATATGGCACCATGTCTGCAACAATTAGAATTCTTTTTTTTTATAATTTATTCATGAGAGAGAGAGAGAGAGAGAGGCAGAGACACAGGCAGAGGGAGAAGCAGGCTCCATGCAGGGAGCCCGACGTGGGACTTGATCCCAAGACCCTGGGGTCATGCCCTGGGCCAAAGACAGGTGCTCAACCGCTGAGCCACCCGGGCATCCCAACAATTAGAATTCTTAAGTCTAGGAGTCGAGGTGGTGGAGATAGAATGACTATACTGACAATCTACCATAGGGACCCACTTGAGGGTTTTGTGCTTCACCTCCACAGTTTTCGGTTCTGTAAGTCTAGGGCTCCAATTCACTGCCTGGCCACATTGCATTCCTCATTCCAAGAGACCACCTGTCAAATAGCAATTCGAATACTGGGAAGGTTAAGTGACCATGATCATCAGGAGGATACTGCATTACTACTGAATAAAGGGGTGGGGGTGTTGAGAATATTTGTGGCACTCGGGTGATTTGCTGGACATCTCTTCGTATTTACATGCCCAGTATTAATTGTTAATGGGTAATTATATTAACCAAAGGCTGATAAGGGCATGAAAAGCAGAGGCTCAAGCATGAGGGTCTGGGTGATCCTACCAGGCAAGACAGTTGCACCATCAGAAGTGCTGGATGAGAATGACGGGAATGTAGAATAAGTGGTAGAGGGAAAAGATGAGAATGTCCCCAATTTCCTTGGAAAGAACTGCAGCAGTGGTGTTGGAGGAGGTTATCGAGAGGACATGATTTCCCGTGGGCCCTTGAGTTGCTGCACCTGCCCTCGGACTGTGTGTTCCGCCCACTACTCTCCCACCACACCCACTTCAAGGACACTACCTGGAGAGAGCAAGCAATGTGCTGTTGAGACCCTGTGTACCCCATATGTGACTAAACCCCATTAAGGCTCCATATCAAATCTTAAGAATCTGACAGGCGGGTGTGTGAGCTAATCGCCCTGCGGCTGCCCAGGGCAAGCCTCATAGGTAAGTTCCCTTGCTAATTGCAACTGCCATCTACCAATGTGGAGTGGTCACCTCTTTCTGCAGTCTTTGTCCCCTGTGCTTGGGGGCCAGTTTCCGCTTGTACCCAGGGACTCCCAAGGGTGTGAACCAACAAGCGGGCCGTGCATTATCATACTAACTCTCCTCTTGTACAGTTCCCCTCCAACTGCAGTTAACCAAAACACAGAGAAGCTGTCGGTGAACAGGGAAAACTGAAGAGGAGAAGGAAGCAGATTTCAGTGGTGTAAATGGTGTACTCTACAGTGCTGTTAGCATGCCCCAGAGATCTCATTTAGTAGACAGTGTTGGTGTGAGTTTTGGCTTTTAATGGTTCACACCTCTGGCTTTCTGCAGAGGACTGCCCTAGGGCTGATGGGAGCCGCCTTGTCCAGAAATGCCCTGGAATTTATGCACCCAGCCCCATTCGAGTTGGTCTATAGCCAATGACTGTGGCATAATAGCTCAGCCCCCTTGTCTCCATCTGGCTGAGGCAACCACTGTAGTGCAATTCATGCTCCAAAGTACTCCACACAATCAAGCTGAGGCATGAGTTCCCATGGTTCCTTCCCTGGCACTGTTCTGTTTTCCTTATTCTTTTGTCTTTTTCCCTAACTGAATTCTCAATCACCTGCCAAAAAGAAAAAAAAAAATTCTCATCTCAGAAACCCAACCAAAAACCATATTATTTGCAGTGGTTCTTGGTATTACTACCCTGAATCTGTTGTGTTTCTACGTGTCCATGTATGTTTGTGGTTGTGTAGATTAGGATAAAGCTAGTGAATAATTTTGTGATATTCTAATCCTACTATTCCCAGTGTCTTGGGAAATGAGCATTTTGTGGTAAGAGAGAAGAAATACAGATGAAAAAAAAAAGAAGAAAATACAGATGTAAAGTGACAGAGATTAGCAATAGGAAAAAAACTCTTAAAAATTAAAAATTAAAAAACACCTCTTTTTATCTAAATTTTGATTGGAGGGACGCCTGGGTGACTCAGCGGTTGAACATCTGCCTTCAGCCCAGGGCGTGATCCTAGAGTCCTGGGATCGAGTCTCGCGTCGGGCTCCCTGCATGGAGCCTGCTTCTCCCTCTGCCTGGGTCTCTGTCTCTCTCTGTGTCTCTGATGAAGAAATAAATAAAATAAAAAAAATTTTTTTTTGATTGGAAACATCTTCATGAGATATTTTTTCTTAAAACATTTTTAAAAAATGTCTTGTTCTATACATTAAAAAGACCCAGAAATTATGATAGATTCAGTAGCAAAATGTTCAGATTGTCTTAAAAATACTATTTTCCACTGAAAGTAACCAGGGTTCCTTGAAGTCATAGCTGATTGTGACAAAGTATATACCAGTCGAGCTTGAAATATCTTATCATAACACACAGCAAGGTGATTTCAAACACTACTCGAAATCAGCTTAAAGAGACTTACACTGGCCATAGATGGGGTAATTTTATAAGGATAATTACGGTTATAGATTGGAGCAAACCCCAAATGCTTAAATCCATGAGTTAATAATAATGCTAAAACAAAGAACAAAAACAATACAAATTGTACATGGCTACAAAACAAATTGTAGACAATGCTAGTGAATTCAATTCAACTAAGGATAGTAGAAATGGCCGAATCTCTCAAATTAGACCGTAGACTTTACAAAGCTAGAAATGTTCTCTCACAAAGTGCTGCCTCCAATATCTTAGCCAATTTTCAGGAGACTTTTTTTTTTTTTTAATTTCTAAGGTTATATCATTCAACCAGGTCAAAAACAAACAAAATCAAATGCAAGCATATTGTTAATTTATAGCGACAGCATATCTGATTCTGCATTTTGTTGGTGTCCCCACTGACCGTATTTCTAATATTTAAGGATTTGAAGTAAGATTTTTGAATAATGCAATGTTAGAATAACCTTGGAGATCATAAGCCAATATCTCATTTTCCAGGTCAAGTGGTTGAGGACTGTCTCTCTATTTCCAAGACTTCATCCATACAACTATGGTAAGATGACATTTCCATGCGAGCGCTGAACGTTGCTGGTTCTGAAGAGCATCGCGTGTGGGATGTCCGTTCCTCCCTTTCTCCAACAGAGCAGAAGGTCTGCTTTCATTATTATTGCTACATGCTGAGGTCTTGTCCTGACCTTTGGGTGTGTTGGAAAAATATATTATTTTCCTTCTGCTTCATGAGTTGACGGGCTTTGCTTTGGCAATTATTTTTATGGCTCGTAATCGTTACAATGAGGAAGTTACTGTGGTGGGACGCAGGTGCATAGACTCCTGCCCAAGCCTGTTTGCGGTTCCGTGGAGGAAGGGGAATGAGTCTGCTGAACTAGAGAGAAGGAAGTAGTCAGCAGGGCTGATCATGGAAGCAATCTTGGAGAGAGCTGCCGGAGAGCGTGTTCTGGAGACTGTCCTGGAGGCCAGGACAGGCTGGGCGCTGGGGGTGTAAGGCTAGTGGTGGTGACATAGGTTGGAAGCCCACAGATGATTCGCTGTGACACTGTAAGCATATGTCTTTGATGAATTATACACAAGCATTCCAGGCAGGACAGGACTGGAATGGGAAGGTGAGACACACTAAACTTCTCCCTCTGCAGAATTAAGTCGATACAAAGGTCCTTAGACTCATCCCTGAAATTCAGTGAGCCAACAAGAAAGCCCTTCATAGCCTCAAATATGTTAGGCAAATTTTAAGTAACCTATACGAAAAAAAGAAGTCAAGCAATTAGTTTTTTTGGAGAGAACAGTGTTTTCTATGAGAAGACTACTGTTGGCCAGACCCCTATTAGGAGTACAATTAGGAGTACAATTCTTTTTTTTTTTTTAAGATTTTTATTTTATTTTTTTATTTATTCATGACAGACACAGAAAGAGAGGCAGAGATACAGACAGAGGATGGAGAAGCAGG